CACTCGATGGTAAAGAAAACTCACATAGAAATACAAATAACTATATTTAAAATGCTTCAAGTGCACACTAAAGGGTTATGTTGGCGATGATTGCAATTGATTTGTGTCGATTGATTATGTTCTATGATAATGTTCTGTATGTCGATTGATTGATATTCTGTTCGATTATGAAAATATGCTGTCGATTTACTAAAATTCTTAATATATAAATTGTCATCCCTACTACGAAATGAGCCAGCCGAAACTGGTTCAAGGTGTACAGCTATTGTTAGGGTGGTGACCTTACCAACCCTGGAAATACCGAATGGTACTGATTTCGAGACAGACAATACATCGTATACGTTTCTTTGGTACCTGCACAGCAATAGTGCAGGAATTGAACATAATTTGGAAATGTTGCTGAAGGCAGATTCTTGAAATTACAAATAATAATGTTAAACTGAACAATTGATACAAATAACCCAAGAAACAAATGTGCAAATGAACAAATATACCTACAACTAAGCAAAGAAATAAATATACAAATGAACAAATATACCTACATATATACAAAGAAACAAATATACAAATAAACATGTATACCTACAAATAAAGAAATATACAATTATGATTAAAACAAACAGAATAGCTCAAAACCCCAATGCCAAAACANGGGTCATGTTCACTGAACCTTAACAACTATCAGTATAAATTAGGATTAGTTCTCATTTAGGTTTAGTTTACTTCAGTCCCTGAAGAAGGTAACTTTGTTACCGAAAAGTACTTCGGACAACTACAGTGTCTTGTTTTGGCCTTGGGGTTTTGAGCTATTCTGTTTGTTCTACAACAACCGCCAAAGTTTTTCCAATCTTCATATTTTAATTATGATTAAAATATAAAAAATATGTTTCAAACGTGTAAACAGGTCATCATCATCATAAGGTCGTCAATCTGGTTGGACACGCACCTCCACTCCTTCCTATCCTGAGCCAATCTTCGCATTTCCCCTAAACTAGAACAAACCATATCCTACCACTCTCCCCGTCTCGTAAATGTGACTAAGTAACATAAACGTACGATCTCTAACCTCTTGTCCTGCATGTTTTAGAATTTCACCCTAATATCCCGTCTGCACCTGACGCTTTATCATTCTTTAAGTTTTTTTATGCTACATCGAACTCTTCTCTCATTATGGGATAACCTAGCTCATCTATCTCCACACTATCTTCCTTCTCTAATATATCTCCCAACTCAGGGCCTGCGTAAAGCTTCTCTAAATATTCTTTCCATCTGTCTGCCTTTTCCTCATTTTCTATCAAAATGACCCCTGCCTCGTTTCTTATATTATTACTACTGTACCCTACATCTCTAAAATTCCTTTTAACTATATTCTAAACTTCATCCGTTTTACCTACTTCAAACTTTTCTTCTACTTCTTTACACCTCATGCCAATTCACTGTTCCTTGGCTGCCCTACACTTCCTAATTATTCCCCACTTTATACATCTTTGTAGTAGTTTACACTGCGCTACATTTAAACTTTTAATTTTCTTTTTTTGGGTAAGGCACATCAATCTCGTACTTGAATCTGCGTGTCCTGTAAATTGTGTGGTTTCAGTATCGATCTTCCCGTTTCTCGATAAAACAAAGACAGGAACGTGCCTGTGACATATTCTGGAACTTTCCAAAACTGACAATGCATAATTCTGTCACACTTTCGAAAGCAAACGAGGTGTTTGCGATGTCTGGTTTGCACATAGTTTTGTGTATTCGTGTAAAATCGTTGTATCTGAGTTATTTGTGTGTTTAACGTTGGTCGAATATCTGCAATGAGATCCAAACTTCGCAAAGTATCTTTGGGACACTTGACCGGAATCATGTACGTGTTACAGAATTATTGCAATTCCCAAACAAAGTTTTATTGTATAGGTGCGAATTGAAAATGAATATTTTAAATATTTGTTGGACAGTTAGAAATAACAGAAGAAGCATGAATCGTTATATCCAAATCGAAAGATAACTATATTCAATACCAAGTACAGTTTTTTAGTGGTTGATATAATATTACATTTTTCTTTCATCCAGTTACCTACGATACAATAATGGATGACGAGAGATGGCTGCTTCAGAGTACGTGTTTCTTTTATATAGTTTCAGCAAGTTCAGCAGCGTCTAATAATGACATTAAGAATAGCAACTTGCAAAGTTTCTAAAGTCGCCTTTGTCATACTTAGGTTACAAGACATTTTCATGATAAAATACTTTTGACAGCATTTGTTATTTCTATTAAGTACCTGCTGCTTTAGACGTAAAAATTAAAAAAAAATACAACGTGTAATTATACAACACGCTACTGAAGTGAAACTTCTTCAAACACACAAACATACCGGGATAGGGGTTAAGGAATTGGTTTAATGGTATTATTTGTACACTATGCTTCACACGGGTACAATGTTGATAGTAAATATACTATAGAATGTCTTTATATAAAACAATCACAGATTTTTTGTATTAGACAATACAAACCGGCCGGTACCGCCGCAACCGCTATCTCTCTGCATTTTAAGTCTGTAATATCTTCGAAAATATTCATTTAAATTACATTCTGTAAAGGGACATATTGATCTATATTAAATGCACAATGTATTTTAAAGTACTTAATTGGATAAGGATTAATGCTGTATTGCTTAAAATCGCTTCGTAAATAAGCCATTATTTCTCGTAAAAAGTAAAGGATAAAAAATGGTTATCGTGGGTTATCCCTAAGAGAGAGACATACACCATCGCGGACTGTTTTGTAGACTTTTTTAAGATGTACAATACTGTAATATATTACATATTTTGATCTATCTCGTAGGGTTCAACCAGCGTTTGCAATGTAAGCACAAAAAATGTGTTTATTTACATCACATTACAAACCTCTAAAATTATCAATGTTTCTCTATTATATTATGCATGTATTATACAAATAAACCTTCCTCTTGAATTACTCTATCTATTAAAGAAAACCGCATTAAAATCCGTTGCGTAGTTTTAAAGATCTAAGCATACATAGGGTCAGACAGCGGGGGAAATGCGTTGCGTGATTTCGTTACATAGCAACTCGCATGAAACGAACTTACCCTACCGTGCGTAAAGAAGTTTCACTTCAAAAAAAATCACATTACGCTTTGTAAAACAACACATTGATTATCCTTGAAGCAATTTTTGTTTCCTGGCCTAATAGCTAGGACCGGAATCTTCACAATTTTTATACTATATACTAACATATGCTCATAAAACGTTTAGAAGTCGAGGTATCATCCAATCGTCCTCAGCCTCTAACTCAGGAATGACACACTGTAGTATACCTTGTTGTTCTAGTACATTTTTGTTATCTTCTGTATGCGCTATTGTCAGCAGAGTGTCTCCTGTAGTTTCCTGTAGTTTTATCCTGGAGCACAATCGAATATAAAACAGAACGTCGCGGCGCGTCGCCTGTACTTCGAAAGCTCTATGAATTATGTATTTGCGGTGTCTCTCGTGGCCGATGCATGGTACATAATTTCCGTTCGTTGGGAATTCACCGCGCGATTTTAAACGTTCGTCGGCCTGATGCTGCGCCTCTCTGTCAACACTCTTCGCGAAAGATGCCACGTCAAAAATCAGAAGACGAGCCGGGTGAGAGAAAAGGGTCTTCTAAACGATTGATGACACTGACGACAACGGCACGAACTAGGTCGTAAAACGATATAGTGCAAGTGACATGATGCGAGTTTAAAAGAACGAAAGAAGTTCTACTTCCGACGTCGGGCTCTAGACTTTTCTTACACGCGCCGGGGGAGTATTTTTTGAATCGTAAAAAACAAGGTCCTTTTGAATTTGAATAGGCCCAAGCCAGTGCTTTTGTATATTCTGCAGCTACATATCTAAGTTGTGAACCAAAATCTTTTGTGCGTTACGCGTTAGTAACTATGTCCTGTACAATAGAATAAGGACAAACTTCAGAAGATTTTCTGGCGTGCTGAATTTCGTCAATATAAGAAACTTTCAGGATAAGTTTTTAATAATAATGATGTAATTTTTAATAGGTTTTCATTAGATCCACAATTTTTATTATCATTATCATAAGGTCATCAGTCCTAAGACTGGTTGGACACGTACCTCCACTCTTTCCTATCCTAAGCTAAACTTCGCATTTCCCTAAAACTAGAACAGCCCACATCCTTAACTATTTGCGAACAGTAATCTAATCTAGGTCTACCTCTACCCCTCCTAACTCCTGTTTCTGCCTCTAATATGTCTCTGACTAGACCTTCATGCCTGCGAAGGTGTCCTACCAACCTATCTCGCCTATTTTTTATTGACTTCCATAGAGTCCTCTGTTCTCCTATTCTTTCCAATACCTTTTCATTTCTAACCTTTTCTACCCACGTTATCCTCATCATCCGCCTATAAAACCACATTTCGAACGCTTCTAACCTTTTCTTTTCCGTCGCGCCCACTGTCCATGTTTCGCACCAGTACAACGCCGTGCTCCAAATATACACCTTTAACCACCTTTTTCTAATTTCTAAATTAACCGTTCGAGAACATAGAATTGACTTCTTTTTATTAAAGCCGACACGACCCTGCGCTATCCCCTGCTTTATATCCCTACTACTCCTTCCATCCTGACTTTTATATTTAAAATTTTTCACTTCAATCCCAAAATATGGAAAACTGTTTTTCTTTGTAGCTTTGGCGCCCTCTATCTTTTTAGGAACGAACTGTAGTGAGTTTAATCTATCAAATTTCAAACTCTACGTTTATTATTCTCATACATTCTCTGGTCAAAAATGAAATTCAATCTGCTTTGCGTCATTTTTAACTTCAGAAACTAGCCTTGAGAATCTCCTAAGACTTAAAGCGAAACGTTGGCGGTTGTTTTTGAAAAGTAAATAACTTTTAAACCTTTTTGATCTTAATTTCATTTCATGTTGATTATGAACAGAGGATGAATGGAGTACGTAATCAAAACAAAATCGTTTATTTTATTACAGATGCTCCGGTGTGTCAGGACTCAGAAGTGACCGTTATTGGTGCGTCATTGGACGAAGTAATCCGTGTGCGGTGCCGTGTGTCAGCGGATCCTAGCGACGTCACCTTTGACTGGCAGTTTAGCAACAGTGGCGAAAGTTTTGACGTGTCTCCAGCACGTTTTGCAACCACAAGCAGCAACGTGAGCGAGCTCATGTACACGCCAGCTTCTCAAAAGGACTACGGAACCCTCACCTGTCTCGGCAGGAATTCTATCGGGAAACAGGCGAAGCCTTGCGTCTTCCAAGTCATTCCGGCATGTAAGTGACATAAACGACACAAGAAATAGTACCTTTTTTAGCCTTTTAGCCATCACGTCCCTTCAGGGTTTAGTATTAAGTAGATAGAACCGGTGAGTTTCAGGCTTTACTCTATAAACTGCGGAAAGGTCTTATGATTAGACGTGATCAGCGACAAGGAGCTTTTAAAAATTTGGACGACCGTTTTGATTTTGTTGTCAGCATTTTATTTTTTATCACTGCGATATTTCCGATGTCCGAAACATAATTACAATCGATTTCATTTATTACAATCGACCATTTTGCTATAGCGACGTTAAATCTAAGTCCCTTGAATTTAAAGCATACTTTAGTACAAAATAGCGACTTCTTCTATAGCGACTTGGGATATAACGCCGAGTTCGGGTGATGTAGCGACTGTTATTAATTGATCATTTGTAACTAATCCGTAGTTCATAATCCAATGCAGTTGGCAGCAAATAGCTTTCTTATCTTTTGTATACATTCACACAAATTGTGATCAAGTGTGGTGACTTTTACCGTTTGTTTGTAGATGTCTTCATTATCCATAACATAATTACAGGTATAATTATAATGTATAATCTTCAGTCCCAAATATTTCGGCAAAATTTTCCCAGAAAATGAAAACCCAAATGAGACAAATCCGGGCCTGTTTTACCTCCACATAATTTTGCTAGAATTTATTATAAACTACAACCAAATCGGACCATCCAATTCACAATTATTCTTGATCAAATTAACAAAATGAGATGTAATAAACACTTCGCGTTTTTGACCAGGTTAAGGTCACATTACTGGGCCATACTAAAAGGTAAAAGATTATGTTCTAGAAGAAAAAGTGTAACGAAATTCGTACTTGATAACGCATCTTGTTAAGATCCATACCCACGAACGTCTGTAAAAAGCGGAACGCGATAATAGAACGTTCTTTTTACAACCAATTTACTATTTTATTTCCAGTTTTATGACATAATCTGAAACGTGGATCGGCATCCGTAATATTGCAATCGTGAATTTGTCCGGACCGCATTTTGTAATGCATTAATATTTTATGGCGCCTCTTAAAAACCGATTTAATTTGATGAATTTGTGAAACACCAAACAAACGCTGTTTAATTAAGCTTTTGTCTGCATTATTGTCACTAATTTAATTGTCAACATAAACAACGCGCCAAATTGGTTTTCGATCGGAGTGCCTTCTTTATTCCAATTGAAATTAATTTTTTTGGTTAATTGCGGAAGCCGATTTTTTAATAGTTCTCTGTTAATATATTTAAACGGCAATTTGTTTCAATCTGTATACGCAAATTCTTGTTGTTGCGGCGTATGCTTTATGACCGTATACTGGCTACGTAAAAGGTACCGCCGGTATTGCATCGATCATCGAAACCTCCACTCACACACAAAAATACTGATAAATAAAAAAACTACTTTCATGAAAAATATTGTTTGCAATCGCTACAATCGTTTGTTAGAAGCATTGGCTCCTTTGGGTGAAGAGGTTCTTCTATATTCCACAGTTTATCTCTTTATACGATCGGAGACGAAAAAATAGAAGAAGTATCTAGGAAGTTAGATAATTCGGGATGATTGGAGCAACAGATAGAAAACATAGCGTAGGGTCGAGTCGTCATTAACAAAAAGATGTCACTTATATGCTCTAGAATAGTTAATTAGGTAATGTAGAAATTGGAACATGATTGCTAAAGTGTATGTCTGGGGCATGGCTCTATACGGGTGCGAAAGGTGCACGGTGGACGCAGAGGAATAGAAATGGTTAGATGAGGATACTGTGGCTAGAGATATTGGTAACGCCGAGTTCGGGTCTAGCGACTGTTTTTAATGAATCATTTGTAACAAAACCTAGTAATCTCATGCAGATATAGCAACCGGAATCGGTCGCTAAAGACACAAAGGGCTTTCTTTTCTTTTGTTTACATTCAAACACATATTCAACATGTTTCAACCGTTATTTCTGAGTAGCAACTGTGTTTAGTAATAAGTGCGACTTCCAGATGTACATTTACTGTTAAAAAAAGGCGAAATTGTTTCAAAACTGAAAAACAGTCTGTGTCAGTATCTTCTTTAACTTTGCCTATAACGACTTCTGGATATAACGACGAAATTACAGTGGTCTCTTCGTTGTCGTTATACCCGAAATCCACTGTATTTCATATGTTGATATTTTCCATATTTTATTCTCTTATTAGTTTCCTTTTTTAATCTAAAATCGTCCAGGACTTTCAAGTCCCCGTTAGCCTGTTCTCCTAATAATTTCATTTCGAAAATACTAATACAGTTATAACGTTTATTTACTTTGTATAGTGTTTGCTCAGTGGTGTCAATTTTAAGTTAAAAGTGCCGTTTTGAAGAGAAAAAAGTTCCATTTGGGATTATTTTGTTGATATTAACGATGCAAGTGCTAAATGCAAAATTTTTAACAAAATATTCGCGAAAAGGACGAGCGTCTACTGAAAATCATTACAGTTCCGCTTCCGCAAAAATTTACTATTTACTTCTGTTTCCATTATGACACTTCCATTGCATCGCTAACCCAGATTAGACTACTGCATAGGAATGGTTAAGGATGTAGGATTATGGATTTTAATTTTAGGGAAAGATTATCTCAGGAAAAAAAGTGTAAAGGTACATGTTCGACCAGTCTTAGGACTGACGACCGTATGATAATGACGACGGTAGTTGATTCATTAATTTTTTGGGTAAAGTAGGGTAACGACATGTCATTCAATACGCAGGTATTACAGTATAATAAGTAGCCGTTTATAATCTCCTGTTTTGAGATTAACTTTGACTTTGATCCTTTGTAATTACTGTGCTCTCTCTGTCAGGATGAAACTGATGGCCAGAGCTTTGCCCGGAGAGTAGCTCCAGATAAATTAAACCGTTTTCAGTCGACTGCTTAAATTTTACATGTTCTTGCAACCGCCTGGCTGCAGATAAAGACACAGCTGGATGTGCTTAATATGCATAACTTTGTAGTTTAATCTAATACGATGCTACTTTGTAATAAAAGTAGCTATTGGTTATTTCCACTTAAAAACGAGATGAAGCTACACTTTTTAATTGAAATATTTCCACACTAAACGACATAATTAAAAATTCCTTTTCCTTCTCAGATTTTCCAAACCGGTTCTCATTTAATTACTTGTCTCGATTTCTAAATTAAGCGCACAATTAAGAAAAATTAACTGTCCAAAAGTTTCGACCAAGTTATCAACAAGTTAATAAATCACTTTAACAGTTAATTAGGCAGTAAATTGCCTAATACTTTTGTCGACAAATCGCAATTAATAAATTGTAATCAATTAAGCTTTAATAAATTAATTGCTTGTTGAAATAAACTCAAAATACGAACGACATATCTGATAAAATAATGATTAGGAAAATTAAACAACCCTTAATGTTATGACATTATCGTAAAGTCGTCAGTCCTAAGACTCTTTCCTGTCATCAGCTAATCTTCCTGTTTCCCTAAAACTAGAACAACCCACATCCTTAACTAAGTATTTGCGAACAGTCATCTCATCTAGGTCTACCTCAACTCCTTTTAACTATCGTTTCTGCTTCTAATATGTCCCTGACTCGACCTTCATGCCTGAGAAGGTGTCCTACTAACCTATCTCGCCTACTTTTTATAACTTCTGTCCTCTGCTCTCCTACTCCTTCTAATACCTCTTCATTTCTAACTTTCTCTGTCCACGGTGTCCTCATTATTCGCCTATAACACCACATTTCGAACGCTTCTAGCCTATTCTTTTCTGCCAAGCCCCACTGTTCATGTTTCGCACCCATACAGCTCCGCGCTCCAAGCATACAACCTTTTTCGAATTTCTAAATTAACCGTTCGCGAGCATAGCAGTGACTTCTTTAATATTGAAGGCAACACGACCCTGCGCTGTCCTCTGCTTTAAATCCCTACTACCCCTTCCGTCCTGACTTAACTGACTTCCTAGATACTTAAAATCAGTCACTTCTTTTAATTTCTCGTCTCCTATCTTTATATTCGTTCTTTCCCTACTTTTTCTTCCCGTCTATACCCGTATTTTTGTTTTACTTTTATTTATTTTCATTTAGCATTGTTTTGTCAGTACCGCTTCCATTTTATTTAAAGCTATCTCTAACTCCTCTTTGCTAGATGCTAATACTGCTATATCATCTGCAAATCTAAGCATACTAATCTTTTGCCTCTGAATATCTATTCCTACAGTTGTACTATCATTAATAATGTTGATCGCGTCTTCGATGTATACATTAAAAAGTAGCGGTGACAGTGTGCATCCCTGTCTAACTCCCTTGCTAATATTTACTTCTAGCCCCGGCTCTATAACTATCTGTTGCTCTTTATACAAACTAAGTATCACTCTTCTATCATTGTAACTTATCCCTACATTTTTAAGTCTATTTAACATCTTGTTCCATTTAACATTCTCTCACTCTTTCCTTTTTCTATCGTTTCCTCTATTGTTACCTGTAAAGCTAGAATGGCCTTCCTTGTTCCTCTATTTCTTCTAAACCCAAGTTGATCTTCCATTAATAGTTCTTCCGCCCTTTTTTCCATCCTCCTCTGTACAATTCTAGTTTTTTGACGCATGGTAAGTTAAGCTAATTGTTCTAAATGTCTCGCACCTATCCGCGCCCTTCTTTTTAGGTAATGTTACTACTACGTTCCGTTTATAATCCTCTGGGACTTTCCCCGTCTCGTAAATGTGACTAACTAGCTTAAACATACGATCTCTAACCTCTTGTTCTGCCTGTTTTAAAATTCCCCCCTGTATCCCATCTATATCTATGCTAAATCGAACTCTTCGAACTCATTTTGGGATAACCTACCTCATCTATCTCCACACTATCTTCCTTCTCTAATATATCTCCTAACTCATGGCCTGCGTATAGGTTCTCTAAATATTCTTTCCACCTATCTATCTGCCTTTTCCTCATTTTCTATCAAAATGACCCCTGTCTCGTTTGTTATATTATTACTACTGTATCCTGCATCTCTAAAATTCCTTTTAATGTTATGACCATTAATTAAATAAATAATAACTGAAAACCTGTCGTAGTATTATGGCAATATTGAACAATAATATCAATATTAAGTAACTATTTTGATTCTAAAGAAATTACTCAAATAGTCAATTGTTTCGTCTGTTTAAGTCTTTGTTGAGAAAACAGAGAAATAATACTAGTACTCATTATCAACATTAGTGTCAGAACAGAAGTGGAGTCTAACAACTTAATTATTAAGCGGAGAATGTGCCGATAGCACTTGGAAACGTTACAAACGGTTTGGAGATGGGTACTTGTTGATTAACCTTTTGAAGATTTCCCCTTTAGAAACGGGCCAACAGCAGCATCTCATCGAATTAATTATTAGATGCCTTTAACAGGCTCCTGACGTGTTGGAAATTTCAAACGTTGTTAATTAGATGTTGCGTTCTGTTGCTTTGGCGACCACTGTACGCTCGGGCGAGCCGGGCGTCGCGCCGGCATCGCGACGCCGCATGAACTAAACGTCGCGCGGACATCGCCGACGACCACCAACGTTACGTCCGGCAAACCTTTTTCTAACAACAAATTACTCATTCATGATTGTAAAGCATTACGACTTCTTTTTTCATTATAATAATACAATAGGAACTGAACGTAACTGTAACTAAAATAGTAAGCTTTATTAACAAAAGTTTTATTTCATTGTAATTATTATTTTTCTTAAATAAATGTTGATGTAGGTTTCGGGATCGTCGCGCAGCGTGAATAAAAATGATCTGGGCCGGTAGCAGAATACAAGAAAATAAAACGGCAGCAAAGTCTTCGGAACGTATATTTACAGAGGCGATAACTAGTCGCATGGACGGTCTAGTACCAAGTAAAACTTACATCTAAATTACTACACTATACACCAAGTTAACCCCCTGCGCGTCTCTTTCCCTCCGGTATGAGACGACCAAAAAAAGAACCGGATAAATGTAATAAAAATTGGAAAGTTATCTCTGCTAAAACGCATTTTGCTGGAAAACTGTTTGTTACCCTTTGGCCGCTTCGCTACCCTTGGAAGTGCAGGTAGTCGAAGGCTTTCGAAGTTTTGTGATAAATTCGGCGGGAAAAAGACGCAGAAGGTTAAATATTCTATTTACAATTTCTACGAACTACAAACCCCTTAAATATAATTTGGCTCGAGGGTAAGTAGCGTGACCGCTACATAGGTAAAACCGATAAGGCTTATTATGTAATTAAAAGGAATTTTAGAGAAGTAAGGTACAGTAGTGCGTTCGAAATGTGGTGTTACAGGCAAATGATGAGGAAACCGTGGATCGAGAAGGTTAGAAATGAAAAGGTGTTAAAAAAAATAGGAAAACAGAGGAATCTATTGATTGAAGCATGAAGGTCTAGTCAGAGACATATTAGAGACAGAAACAGGAGTTAGGAAGGGTAGATGTAGTGCGTGCCCAACCAGTCTTAGGACTGACGACCTTATGATGAGGGTACAGTAGTAATAATATAAGAGGTCATTTTGATAAAAAATTGATAAATGGGAGATAAGTGAAAAGAATATTTAGACAGGATAACTGTAGGGATAGATATATAGGGGCAAACGAATAGTATACTGATAATATAGTATTAGCGTCTAGCAAGGAGATATATTTAAATAAAATGGAAGCGGTATTAACAAAACAGTATTGTATGAAAATAAATAAAAGTAAAACTAAAATACTGGTATGCAAGGGAAGAAATTGTAAGAAAAGAGCGAATATAAAGATAGGAGACGAAAAATTAGAAGAAGTGGCTGATTTTCGGTATCTAGGAAATAAGATAACCCAGAATGGAAGGAGCAGTCGAGATATAAGACAGGATAGCGCCTAATCGACTAACTCTAAATTACGTGACAAAATCAAAAATTTTTCTGGTGCCACCACCAATACCAAAAAAATACGAGCCAAAGGGAAAAACCCAACAAGGTATGACTACCTCGAGGTATGAAATTCCTATAACCTGCATACAATTGAAGAGCATCGATAGTAAAATTAACAAAGGTAGTTGCCATCGAAGATCATGGCAGAACCTGACGATCGGGCCCCAATAGGCCTAATATTGTTTGCAAAAGAGATATTTGACTACCTTGTACCTATGCATTTGAAATTATGTGAATTTCCAATATAATAAAATAAAATACGTTGAATAATGATAAGCACTGTCTATCTCTAACAACTAAAAAAAATATTAAAATTAAACTGAAACACTGTCCCTTCCACATTCGTAATACGTTTCCTACAGCGTATAACGTCCCCGTAATAAATGTGCCCATAATAACAGTGGTAAAACACATGTAGCGTAGCCCCGATGATTATGTCGCCCTTGTTGTAATAACTTTGATTGTTCTAACTATTACTCACTGACCACATAACACGGCATCGTATAATGAGGTTAGATTGTAATTAATGCTTCGAAGTCGGAAACACGTTCAAAACCTGTTAGCGACAACCAATCAGTTTTAACAACCTGATTAACCAATAACATACCTACCTATAACTGGAATGTAATTCGGTTTGGCAGCGATTGTGGCATGGATCTTCAGAATCGGATTTTTAATCATTCAATATAATCAACAACATCGAACAAGTACGTGACCACAGACAAAGTTAAAAACGAGCTATTGTATTTTCGTTATTTAAAAGTTAAGTGTATTTTAGAAGTACAAATATGTGCGATATTAGTTTTTTTTTTAAGAATAGATAATACGAGTAAAAGTCCTGTTTGCAAGGATTGATTACAGGATGAAAAACCAGCCCTTATCTTGGATTATAAACCTATATCAGGAAAAAAAAACTGTGAATGTAGATACCAAATATATCCTTTCATATCATCCCCAGTCAGATAAGTTAGGACAGAAGGAGTAGTAGGGATATAAAGCAGAGGATAGTTGCCTTCAATAAAAATAAGTCACTTCTATGCTCGCAAACGGTTAATTTAGAAATTCTAGAATGATTGTTAAAGGTGTATGTTTGGATCGGGGCGTTGTACGGGTGCGAAACATGGACGGTTGACGCAGCCGAAAAGAAAAGGTTAGAAATCTTCGAAATGTGGTGTTACAGGCGAATGATGAGGATAACGTGGGTAGAAAAGGTTAGAAATGAAGAGGTATTAGAAAGAATAGGAGAACAGAGGACTCTATGGAAGTCAGTAAAAAATAGGCGAAATAGGTCGATAGGGCACCTTCTTAGGTATGAAGGTCTAGTCAGAGACATATTAGAGGCAGAAACGGAAGTTAGGAAGGGTAGAGGTATACCTAGATTAGATTACTGTTCGCAAATAGTTAAGGATGTTGGATGTTCTAGTTTTAGGGAAAAGTGGAAAAGTCTTAGGACTGACGACCTTATCATGATGATACATTCTCAGTTAAGAACTGCGAGAGCGACCTGAACTTTTATAAATTGTTACACCTGACAAAAAAAAAATTAAGAAGAGAAAAAAATAAATTTTTAACCGTTTAGTGAATTTTTATAAATCTTTTTAGTCGAATTAAATGTGAGTAAAAATGACATATTTTCATGAAAAATCAAAAACAATATTCTTTTATTTTTTTTGTCCTCATATCCCCCTTGTGTACATCTATCATATTTGTTTTACGTAGATATAGGGAGGTACTTTTAGCTGTGTGATGCATCATTTAGCGGAGCTTCTATCTTTGGAAAAGACGCGCACACGCATTAACGAATCAGAAACTTGGGAAAAGCACAACAGCGTGACAGGCTTGATTAATACAAACGTTTCGCAATTGGAAAAGTTAATTGATCACGTAATAATACAATGCGGGATTCCGTCATCGGCAGCTTTTGGCACCCTAACCGCCGCACGCCGTCATCAGTTGCCACCGTCATCAACCGCCTCACCGCCTCCCCGTTGCCATCGTTCTAATTAACGCTTTGAAATTTCGAACAGAACATACACACACACACACACACACACACACACACACACACGTCCCAACCAGCGACGACGACGCTCTCGGTAATTAATTTGATGATATTGCAGCAAAGCCCAGTCCCTTGAGCAACTGCACCCTCCAAGGGGCCGCCAATGACAGCTCACGTCTGTTAGACATCGAATGTCGCCCCGGATATGACGGAGGCTTGCCCCAAACCTTCGTCCTCGAGGCGTACGACTCCCGCACCATGACGTTGCGATTCAACCTCAGCTCCAACGACCCCGACAGTCCCTTCTTCCGTGTTCAGCTGGACGAGGTGCTCGACGTGAAGCAGGGAATGCCACCGTCCCTTCGTATATTCGTCTACGCCCAAAACTTGAAGGGACGCAGCGACAAAGTCGTCCTAGAAGACATTACCCTTAACGATCCCGAAAAAAGAACCGGTAAGTCAACACTATTTATTTTTTTTTTCCTTTTCATATAGGATTGACTAATGCAATCGCTATTAAAGGAATTTGGAATTGGTACACAAGTTATTATTGGGGTAATTTAAACTAAATGTATCTTCACCTACCTTAGAAAACACCACAAATGGCGAGGTAAACGCCATCTGTAGTACCACTTCGAATTATTTTATTCGATTATGGTAACGTGCCTATCACGTAGTGGTTAGCTATGCCGGGATTCGTTTCAGCAAGTAGATATCCATATATTTAAATGGACCTTGTTGGAGCATCCGTAATCCTAAAATGTAGCATCGTATTACAGATGGCGTTTACCGCGGCGTTTGTGGTGTTTTCTAAAACGCTCTGTTAAGACAGCAGGTAAAAGTTGGTCTGTGTTCTGTCGGAGCTGTCTGCGACGCGCTGATGAGATCCAAAAAGATCGAAATCGCGATCCGCGTCTTGCAGTTTCGACAGAATGCAGACCACTTCGAAATATACTTCGAGATATTCGATTTGACTGGTTAATTTTTTGTTGTATTTATAATTGACAGGACAAGGTTTGTGTGAAAGAAAATTTTTGAAAAATACGCGGCAAAAATTTGGATAGTATTTTTGTATGGAAAAGCCTTCATGCTATAAATTTTGACATTTTTGGTTTTGGTCAGATTTACATCAAACTTGATATTTATGCTCATTGGCATAAAATCAAACACCTGTTTCAGCATTTTTAAAAATTCCACCTCTGAAAGGGGGTGAAAAGGGGATGTAACATTTATATGCTAGATATTTTATTTATATAGTCACATTTACTGTAAATGTTGTTGCTACGTTTGTATTTGAAATCTAATAAGATGGCGACATTACATAACATTTAAACTTTGTAGGGGTGAACTGAGAGTTAAAAGGTTTTATGGAGAAACAATAATAATTTCTGCGAGCGAAGCGGCGGGCAAAAGCTGATACTAAATTGCTATCTACAGGTTCTTTTTCTATAACTGTTAAGACGAATTTTATAGACTAATAAACGAGTTGCACTTATTAATCCTTCAGGCTTGCTTTGCAAACAACTCACAAATAATAACAATCATAAAAAACTTCCCGTTTCTATACATAATGTAACACTCTCCTTATGAAAGCTCTGAATTGCAACCCGACGTCAAGAAAGTTTTACGAAAGAGAAATTATTACCCTACGTGCAAAAGACGTCGCAATAAAAATGGTATTTCGAAATGTATTTTTTCATCATTGGCGTATCACACAGTGAACTCAAAATAAATTCATAAATAAAATATTTCCGATAAACGTTTGTAACATATTTCGTTTTTGAAATTTGTAATTAAATTTTAATTGAATTTTTACCGGACATAGAATGAAAATGAATAATCCTGCTCCGGTTGGACTATACGAATCATATTTCAAAACTGAAACCCTTTTTTCTCACACAACCCTAGTCAATCATTTCAATATTTTATTAAGAGAATCCAAAATACTAATTCAAAAATTATTTCAATTTCAAATATCCTTTTCTTTTTTTGTTTACAAAACTAGAAACTGAATTATAATAATGAGATGAAATGTTTATTAAAATTATCTGTAACATTACTGCAAGGGACAAATTGTGTTTGAAAAAGGGAATTGACGTCAAAGCAAAATCAACGATCAAAAGGTTTAGTTAAGGGATCAATTATTTGTTCCCAGTAGCACATCATAAGTAATTTGGTCGATGGTTTACCGAAACTATGTACGGTGTGCTGATGAGAAGTAACAAATTCAGACCTGATTGCTGAACAAGTACCGAATCTAAAAGAAACGGTGTCAAAAATCGTATAAGAAAGGGAAGTGAAAAAGTGAATATCATGAATCGTTTCTTTCTTCGTGTTCCACTGTTCGTTCAGCCGCTATACCTGTCGTCTTTCGTATGTAAAAGGGGAAAGTTGAAACAAATTATACTTTCCGTCCATTTGCATTATAAAAGGGCGATATTTCAGCATCCGGCGACAAAGTAGCTGCCGCAGCAGCAGCAGCAGAATAATGCTTAATCTCTCTTCCTCCAAAATGTCACGTTAATTTTCCTGGAAAAAGGAACGCCCAAAAAGTCCAGAAACTTTAATAAAACGTGGTGGCAAGTTCGGAAGATTGTTTTCCCAATGTTCCACGACCACACCGCTGCGCTGTCGCCTATTAATCTCGCTCTTGGACATTAATGAGCTACTGCTCGCGATAACTCAAAAAATTCTTTCTTAATTTCCTCACTTGCGGCAATCCATCTTTGTAAAAACCAAATGGAAAGATAAATCGAGTCCATAAAGTGACCCGTGTCCTTACATACGTTCTATATGTCTAAGGACATTCATTAATTTATCTAACTAGTCGAACCCGTCCAAATTTGGAGGGATAGGCACCGTTGGCTTGGTTAGAATTGTTGTGTCCCGAATATAAATTTTAGATACAGGAACTTTTAATTATGGTTGTTTAAGTCAAAATCAATCTTCTGCGAGGATAAATCCTTAAATATACTTTATTGAAAGAAACGATACACACTAATTAACTTCTTATTCCTGACTTAATTTAATTAATATTATCGCTTTTACGAATTAGAAATTATTTATACAAGACATTGACGATTATAATACTTAGTAGAAAACGATTTAAATGTTAGTGTTATGATGTTGTCCTTATTTTCTCTTTTCGAGGGGTTTATATACCCTCGGTTGGCTTGGGGTGAGTTCTAAGAATTTTCCAAAAAGCTGTACTCAAGCTGACTTCGAAGAAATATTTCTTTGACTGAAGTTGGCTTTTTCTTAAGTACCTTGCTTACTTCTGAGAAGTGTTGTTAATCTTTACTGTCAAATTTAATCCTCAACATGCATACAAAAATATAACGATAAAATTTACTCTCATTAGATATACAAATTGAACCTGCATCTATTTTTATTTTTACGTTTTACTGCGTTTATAATGTATGGTGTAGACACTACGGTAAACTAATATTTTTGTACGTTATTATAATTAATTATTTATTAGTCATTTTGCATGTGCCTGCTGCTGGTTTGTTTGCAATGCTAGAGATTTTTAGTCAGTTTGCAATTTCAAAATTGCAATGCAATGAAACAGTAGGCGATACTAATTGTAAAAGTCCCAATAGGTAGTACCCCCGTATCGAATACAATGACTGTTAAGCAATCAAATGTACACACAATATGGCAAGCCATCGTGTTTTAGCTTGCATTCACATTTTGCTGTTTAACTTCAAAGATAAAATAAATGAAATGAAACGTTTTGATTAACGAGTAAATAAACGAAACCTGATGAAATGATGCATTGTTAATTTATTTGCTTTATATATTCGTTCAAATCCTGGGTGGATTTGCAGAATATTTTGGTCATACAAATTGTAAATAAAATGCAAACGATTCAGGTAGACGCACACAAAACGATTTGTTTTTAATAATCATTAATGGATTAGGAAAAAATGTTAACTTTACATTATTAAATATTCTAATCTAAAGTTTTCAACCATTTTTGGGAATTAATTTTTTTAAATTGTATTAACTTAATGTATTATGCTTTAAATTTCCTAAATTTTGATAAAAACCGCATCAAAATCGGTTCAAAAATACCAACGTTACGAAATATAAAAGTTTCAAATGCATTGCGATGCACCAGTCAGGTGAATAAACTTTGTGTTGTTGTTATTGTATAACCGCATTCCTGAGGAAACCCCTATTGTTTTCCAGACCGACTGACCTAATTTCCTATTGGTTGACAAAATGGCGTCGCGACTAACAGCCAATGAGATGTGTTACACACTTAAAAACAATAAGAACTGCATTCGTAAGTTAGTCACGCGCGCTGCTTTGGTTGGTATAGTTCGCTCCTCCAGAGTTATATTAAAATTACGTAAAAATCAAAATGTTGTGTGTCTATTTTGTATAAAAATACATTTATGAGTTGAATTTGTAAGTAATAATAATAACTATCCTTTCTAAAACATTATTTATGGGCAATAAGAACATGTTTTATTTCATAAAAACGTATTAAATCGAATTTATAGGTTAAGACATTGACGGTAGACAAATATTTTTCAAATGTCTTATTCTTAATAAAAATATCCTTTTTTGAATATCCCCTTATATTTCTTTTCTTGCAGATGACTATGGTGGTTTAAATATTTTACCATTAGCTGCATTGTTAACCGGTTCACTCTTAACACTATGCCTCGCTGTACTTCTAGTAGTAGTTTTGGCAATTAGAAAGAGCAGACACAAACACTGTCCCATGGCCCATTGTACTCATGGTGCTGACTTATCGGCCAAACAACCCAAAGTGCTGACACCACAAGCTTCTAGGTCTAATTCCATGTTAGAAATCAACACAGGGGACCAACGTTATGTGGTAGCATATACACTTAAGCCCACCACGAATAGCATTAACCAGGATCAACCCATTACAAATTCCATAGTGATTGGCCCTGAACATCAACCAGATATTCTTAATGCCCCTAGAGGTTTGTTTGCATATTTTAATTATTTGCATTTTATATTGAATATTGTTTTATACTGATTAAAACAATTGATAATCAAGTTAACTCACTAGAATCATGAATTGTTTTTCTATTAAACTTATTTAAAGAGTACATCTATATTATGTTGTATTTGCAATTGATTTAGGAAGAACACAATTTGTACTGTATACGTAAAAAAATTAAATGGGGAAACGTTATTTGATATTACTTTCAGTCGTAGATTTTATCCCCGACTATAACACCGGTAGCTTTGTTTCAAACAAGAACGTAAATTATTCAATAGGTTGCACAGAAGTTACACACCTAGTTCCTACGTAACAACCAACGAAGCAAGCAACTTGTATGTAAATTTCGTGGGAAGATTTATTAAGAACAATCATTTTTAGGGACAGATGTTACGCCAGTAGGGGAGCCGGGGAGGCTGTTTCCAAGGCCGGATAGTCTCTTCGCTTCTCCAAACGATGCACCATTTGCCAAGTTTGTACGTATATATTCCATGTTTCTCATTTAGCATTTATGAGGCACCGTATGCTTCATATATTATTCAGTTAAATGTTTTGAAACTGGAGCAAATATTTCGTATATAAATCTGATGAGAATTTACGACCAAAACGCCCAAAAGAAAAATACAACGCATACGCACTAAACAGCACAATTCAGATCACAGTAGAAATAATGTTTCATTTCTTTCTTGTAACACATCCTCCAATAAGTTAATTTTACCTTTGATTAAAAATTTAGACCTTTGTTAATATAAGTAAAATGTCGAAGTCTTTATTTAATTATTTATATGGTACATGTACCTTCTACCTTCGCAAACACTACTTTAACATTTTTTTTAAACAAATCCCCTCGTGAACCCTTCTTTAATTTTTAAGCACTGTTTTTTTCATTCTAAGGACTTGTTAAAAATGTTTTAGAATCACAAGGACATGTCGATAGTGAATCCCGAATTGTATGGGAATCATGGGACTGCGACCCTGGGACGGTCGTGGCCCCGTCCGAAGGAAAATTCATTTTCCACGATACGAAGAGACCATATTTTAACGGACTCCATACCAGGACCAGAAAGTTGCGTGTAAATTTAAACTCGTCATGTTGTGATAGATGTGCAAAATAAAAAAAGACAGTTGTATCAAATTAAATGAGTAATAATTAAGAAACTTTAACTGATGATGTTTATACTTGGGCAAACTAAAGAGCTTAAATCAAGTGTTACATGAAACTAATAAATGTGGGACAGTGATGTAAAAAAAATCTAACTGTTTGCTGTCTTATTATATTAATAAGTAGACCTTAAGTTATCAAATGAATAAAAGTACCTTTTCGAAGTTTTCTTTATTAATACCTGAGAAATACAAGAGAAAAGGTGTTTTGTTTCGTTTTTAATCAAATTATGTTTAATTTTTATGATTCGAATAATACTCTTAATTTATTTATTTTTTCTTCTAATGCCATTTATTGATGACGAGACTAAAAGACGTTTTCTTATTTTTTATTTAAATACTACCCTTCAGTTTGAGTTATTCTTTTTTATTACTGTTGATACATCCCTTCTACGACAGTCACGTTATTATTTGTTATATTTAACTGTTATTTGATCCTAGAAAAGGAAGAAAAAATATATAACAAAAGATATTATTTTTAACTAATACAGCTTCCACCTATTAGAATAAAAAATAAACACACATGCTGTCCCTCGCTAGTTTAGACACTATAGCCAATCTCTATTATGTATATCTGATATCTATGGTCTGGCGGCCATACTGGCTGCTTATTTATGCTTGGCGGTAATTTTAGTCCATAACCTCAACAATACCCCGTTAAGGGAATAAATACTTCTCCTTATTTTTTTGTAAATATTTAGTGTTTGCTGTATATTTTTTCTTGCATTTTAATTATGGAAGGTTTCGACGATGCCGGAATCTTCTTTAGTGACAATCTTGCTGGAGATACACAAGACACAAATCAAGTGAACCTGAAAGTTATCAAAAAGAAGTTTAAAGAATTTATGAGACAGTTCCATGGGGAAAACTTCAACTACAAATACAGGTTATTAATTCTTTTTGTTCTTTGTATCATTACTCAAAATATGTTATTTTAGAGATACTCTGAAGAGGAACTACAATTTAAAACAGTATTACCTAGAGGTGAACATTGAAGACCTTGCTAGTTATGATGAAGTTTTGGCAGAAAAGCTTTACAAGCAACCAACGGAACATCTTCCAGTGTTTGAGTCGGCTGCTAAAGAGGTTGCTGATGAATTAACAGCCCCTAGACCTGAAGAAGAGAAAAATGTTGAAGATATTCAAATTATACTTTTATCAGACTCTCGGCCATCTAGTTTGCGTGAATTAAGAGTATGTTAATGTAACACTTAATATCCTTCTTTCTCTATCAAATTGTGTTGTAGTCTAATTGTGTTTCACGTTTAATTAAAATACCTGGCATAATTGTAAGTGCATCTGGAATTAAAGCCAAGGCAACTAAAATAACCATACAGTGTAGAGATTGTCACCATATGATTCCCAATTTGCCTGTAAAGCCTGGTTTTGAAGGTTACATCATGCCCAGAAAATGTAGCACGTGAGTGAAGCAATTTTTTTTTAATTCAGTGTCAAATTAATTTAAATTAAACAGGGAACAAGCTGGACCTAATAAATGCTCTTTGGATCCCTACTTTATAATTCCGGATAAGTGTCAATGTGTAGATTTTCAAGTTTTGAAACTTCAAGAGCTTCCTGATGGTGTACCACAGGGAGAGATTCCAAGGCACCTGAACCTTTACTGTGACAGATATTTGTGTGAGAGGGTTGTTCCTGGAAATCGAGTGTTTATTTTTGGTATTTACTCTATTAAGAAGGTGTCCATTGGTTCAAAGGTAAGTTAAAGCACAATTTATAACATTTTCAATGCATGTTGTTGCAATAATCAATTGTTCTTTAAGAGAGATGGACAAAAGGCACTAACAGGAGTTAGATTTCCTTACATGAGAGTTATTGGTATACAACATGATACTGAAGGTTTGGGATCATCTGGTGTGGGGGCTGTTACTACAGAGGAAGAAGATTTGTTTAAAAGATTGGCAGCATCTCCCAATATATACGAAAAAATTGCCACTAGCATTGCACCATCTATTTATGGGGCTGTGGATATTAAAAAAGCAATTGCTTGTCTGCTATTTGGGGGTATGTTGAAGTAGACAATTCGTTTTTGTTGCTTATTTGATGCATTTTTAAGGCTCCAGGAAAAGACTTCCTGATGGTCTGACTCGCAGAGGAGATATAAACATTTTACTTCTCGGTGATCCTGGTACCGCAAAATCGCAACTGTTGAAGTTTGTAGAGCGTGTGGCTCCAATCGGAGTTTATACTTCAGGAAAAGGGAGCTCAGCTGCTGGTCTAACAGCATCTGTCAACAGAAATCCTGCTACTGTATGTGAATAACCTTAATATACCTTTTTGTATATTAATTATCATTTTCACAATTTCCACACTTTTTGAATTTCTAAATTTTGTAGCGAAATTTTATTATGGAAGGCGGTGCAATGGTTCTTGCAGATGGCGGAGTTGTTTGCATTGATGAATTCGACAAAATGAGGGAAGATGACAGGGTGGCAATACATGAAGCCATGGAGCAGCAAACCATCTCAATTGCTAAAGCAGGAATCACAACCACTTTAAATTCTAGGTGCTCTGTTCTTGCTGCTGCTAACAGTATCTTTGGTAGATGGGACGAAACGAAAGTACGATAAAATGTGAACCAGTCCCTATTTGATTCTACCTTTTCTATTTATTTATCATAGGGAGAGGAAAATATTGACTTTATGCCAACCATTCTTTCCCGTTTCGACATGATATTTATAGTCAAAGACGAGCATGATCAACGAAGGGACATGACGTTAGCCAGGCATATAATTAATGTTCACATGAGTGCAGAACAGGTCACTGAAGAACCTAAAGAGGGAGAACTGTCCATAGAATTACTAAAAAAATATATTAATTATTGCAGAACGTGAGTTAATGCATTAAATATCTTTTAACATACACAGCTTTATAAATGAATTCTTATGTATTCATGTAATTTATTTTTTGCATATTTTAATTTTTTTTTTTTGTTAGAAAATGTGGTCCTCGTTTAAGCCAAGAAGCTGGCGATAAGTTGAAGAGACGTTATGTAATGATGAGATCAGGAGCGAGTCAACATGAGCACGAAATACATAAGAAAAACGCAATTCCAATAACAGTGAGACAACTGGAGGCTGTAATAAGAATTTCTGAAAGTCTGGCCAAGATGCAGCTACTCCCTTTTGCCACTGATTCGCACGTCAACGAAGCCCTACGTCTGTTTCAAGTTTCGACATTAGACGCAGCAATGAGTGGAAATCTAGACGGTAATTTCTGCCTATAATTGTAATTACTTACAAGCTAAATGTTGATATTCCTTTTATGTTTATTTCCTTTTTATTTTTAATTGACTTACGTTTACGTACATATTAAAACAAAAATTTAATAGGTGCTGAAGGATTCACGACTGACGAAGAATATGAAACATTAAGCCGAATTGAGAAGCAACTAAAGAGACGTTTCGCTATAGGGACGCAGGTTTCACAACAAAATATCGTACAAGACTTTGTGAACCAACAGTATCCTGAGAGGGCTATTATGAAAGTCATATATGCCATGATTCGAAGGGGGCAACTGCAACATCGAATGCAGAGGAGAATGCTGTATCGTATTAGTTAATTTATTTCTTTTTCTTTTTTCCTATCCTTACTTCGCATTTTTTTTTTATTTCGAAATCGTAGTTTTTGTTTGCATGTTTTAAACGTTTCTGTTTTTTTTTTATTTCATTTAATGGTACATTAAATAGTAAGATACATAATACCAGAATT